ACTTGGGAATAATGACTGCAGATCAGTTTGAAACTCTTCCCTTCTCTTTTCTTTGTCCCTCCCCTTTCTTCTCCACATACATGATAGATGCTAAATAGGTCTGGATCCATGCTGACTGCATTGAACATTCCTTTGGGTCAACCTTGCTGCCCTTGCAAGTAGTGAGACACTGGCTATACAAATAGGCTAGAATTGGGAGTTTCTTTAAAGGACATACATTCAATGAAGGTGCAAACAGCTCTGTGTGAGTATCCTTCCTAACATAGGAATCTACAATCTATTGACTGATTCTTATCTGCTTCGTTTTAACCACCTACTCTTCAGATACTTACTGACTCTACCTTCCTGTTTTTCCCTTTGATTTTTCTAGACCCTCTGCTCCCTGTCTCCCACCCCTTTCTCCCTCTCTCTCCCACTTCTCTCCTGAACATTTATTTTGAGTCTGAACATCCTAAACTCAAAACTCTGGTCATCTGAAGTGGGCTGTGCCCATGAAATTCATGATACCAACTACATGTTTTGTTAGTCAATAAAGTGCTAGAGACCATTTGTTGTTCTATACAAGTTCTAAGTTCTGTACTGGAGCAGCTCTCTTTAGGGGATACATTTAAAAAAAAAAGTCTGTGTAGCTTCTGCATTGATTGGAAGATTGTTAACATAGCTCAGTGATCATGTTTTGAGTGGCTCATCGCATCTCTATCTTGCACTGACAACGCTGAACAGTTAATAGCCAGCCCCTTCATGTTAAATTATTAGAAGGGAAACACTGTTTTTTTGGATAAATACATATTTGTCTAGAAGCAAGGGGCAAAAGCACTTCGTTCTGTCTGTTGTACAGTTACTGGCTGCTTTCTTTATTCCAATTTCCTACAGTCAGCAAGTCTTCAGTTTCACACGTGGGAACAGGAAAAAATATAGTGCATTTTCAAACTCTTCAAATTTTAATACTAGAGTGAATTCAAGTGGCTGTGTGAGAAATGTGATTAAGACAGATAAGAGTACAAGTTGGCATAGTTCTATTGCTATCAATGGAGCTAGGCCAACTTGCATTATAAGAGATGCCGAGCATGATTTGTAGGTAATTAGGCATAATTCCTGGCTGTTTTTTATTCCCTTTTTAAAACTAGTTTACCTGTTTTTCTGTTCCATTGTTCATGGTGTTTCTCCATTTTTAATAAAAACAAAAAAAACCTTTCAAATGCTGCATCTTCATATTGAGTTGATACTGGATCTGATACTGGATCTGAAATAAAGTAACACACACAATCCTGTTAGAGAGCATAGTAGCACATTGTTGCTAAAAGGAGTTAAATCAACCTGATCATTGTAAACAGAAGCTTTATTTTATTTCATTGGACAGATGACCAAGAAAGTCACTTATTGAAATTAAACTTAGTGTTATATGTTGAAAATAAAAGGTATGGACCCTGCAAAAAAAGAAAGGAAGCCCTTTTGCAGCAGAAAAGTGGAGAGGGGAGGAGGGAGCACTTCTGTAGCACCTGTATAAAAGAAAAAATCTAATAGTACTTTGTAGTTTTATCTGCTCTCTCAATGTTTTTACAAGCCCTAATTGAAATGAATAGAAATGTGGGGTGCATTAGCAATAGAGAATCAATTGCTAAACATGGATTCCTATGGCTGGTATATGCAGGACATCCGATTAGACAGTCATAATGGTACCATCTGGTCTCAAAGTTTATGAAAACATTTCAATATTCTTGTGCAGTACTGAAGCAAATGGATGTTATAGGGAATGCTTTTGTCCACCAATGAAATGCAGCTGCCTCTGGGGAGGAGAGTAGCTACTCTGTAATGTGCCAAAGCGATACCACTTACTAGTCTCACGCCGGAAGGGAAAATGTTCTATCCAATACAAATCAGAAGATATTGCTTTGTGTAAATTCTGCCACTTATGCTGCCTACTAATAAAATGGTCTAGTAGTGAAATGGGGTGTGTGTGTGTGTGTGTGTGTGTGTGTGTGTGTGTGTGTTTATTCCTGGTGTAATTCCACTGCCTATTAAATTAAAGAATAAATGTTAACATATTAGAAAACCTGTTTTGAAATAAAATAGCTATACACATATTTTAAAAACTTTGTGACGTTCATGGCAAACTGCTGAATAAATATATAAATTAACTCAGTCTAGCAGTGACTGATGGCTACTGAAGATGGGATCTTTTTTTAATAAACTTGCTGTCCAAAAAGTTAACCGAGTTGTCAATTTTAACACCTCTGCTAATATTACACGTCTGACACACAATCTTTCTGAGAAATAGGATGCTGTTTAACAATAGTTTAGGACCAGGGCAATGTGAGCAGTGGTGGTGACCTATTTGCTTAATCAAATATTGGATTATTCATACAAATTATTCAGAGAACTAGAAGCTTTGAGCATACCCTTACCCGTAACATTTTTAGCTCTGGAAATTTTGCTAAAATTCTGATAGTGACAAAAATACAATTAGGTGTTGTTAATGTAAAGTTTCCAAAGTGCTTGTACTTGTATATTGAATGTGTGTCTATTACTTAATTGAATTTAACTATCCTCAGCAGATATCTGTAGTATTCAGTCTGATTAAGACATGCTCTTAGTCTTGTTTGTTTTTAATCAGAGGAGCCATGTAAATGTGAAAAGGTTAAGGACTGAACCTAGAGTCTGTGGCTTTTCATTTAAAACTAAGAATTAATGGACAATTTCAAATACTGCCTGCAGTTTCCCAGCCCTCATGGGCTATAATTCTTTGTTCAGTTAGTTACTGGAACACATTGCTATTTATGGAAGATATACACATTTGTTTTCATAAATCATATAAAAACATCTGTTCTCTAGATCAGTCAAAGTAGTATGGCAATGGCTTTCTATATCAATATCCAGGAAGCAAACCTCACCTACTGACTCCACACGTAACGTCCATTTTATTCTAGCAAATATTTTAGCTATCTAAGATTCTACTCAGGGCAAGGCAAAACCGTGGGAATTGGAAACATTCCGGCTTGGAGTTCTGTCTGGCCACGCTTACCATATTTATCATAGAACATAGTGTAGTGGGTAAAGACCGAATGGTGAGTTGAGAGAGCTGTGTTTTCCAATCCCAAGTTTGCCATATGCTTTATTTGATTTTTGCATACAAGTCATTGAAGCCAATAATTTTAAGCTGCCCTCATAAAACACCTCATGCACCTGCCAGCTGTGCTTGTACACAAGCAAATGGGCAAAATACACGTGGGGCACTATTGCCCAATACATAGGAAATCTGAGTTGTTTATATTGCTGATTCTACCGTGACCTTGCTCTTTTTGGGGCTCTGTCTCCATTTCCCCAACTGTAAAACAGAGGTGGTAATACTTATCTGCTCTTGTAAATCATTAAGATCTGCAGATGAGAATCCTAAAGTGCATGAGAGCATTTTGTGTCTTAGGTGCTAAGGGGCTGGGGGATTTTCTTCGGGGAGCTGGGGGGGTTGAGTGCACTCAGTAAATTGAGACTATATTTCTCCACCTAACAGGAATGATATTGTGAGACTCCCTTCATAATTATTTGAGTAGTACCTTTAAAGTACTTCCATGATTGTCAGTATTATAGTGCAAAGTACTGATATTTTATATGAACAAAAATGTATTGACTTTGACTGAGATCCCAATCCTGCATCTATCCATTACTTAGTGCAGGGATGGGGCTTTATAAGATCAAACAGAAGTTTGTTTGCTTAGATCAAGAAAGAGTAGGACTAGCCAGGTTCTGGATTGGGACTTGGAGATGTGTATTCAACTCCTGTTTTTAACAGATTTTCCATGTGACCTTCCACAAATTACTTAATCTCTGTGCCTGGGTTCTCTAGCTGGACAGTGGACATATTACTTCATTTCTTCTACATTTGATCAGCCTTGTTTGTTCTTTCTTTTTTAAGAAACTTCCCTGCTCCAATGGGTGTAAACAGCACCTAACGTAATAGAATCCTGAAATTAGATTTTGTCATCCAGCAGTTACTTTCATGCCTTCTGCAAATTACATGTGTGTGGTATTGCTGATAGTAGCACTGAGTGACTCTAATGGCTATATTTCAGGTTATATTGAGTATATGGTCAAAATAAATTAATTAGGGAGAAAAGGACACTTTTAGAATTCCTATTTTAAGGCAAAGGTTAAGTTTAATGGTACACATGTGTATGTGTGCTCCCATCACCCTCCAGAATCTGGTGGAGTAACAATGGGATTTAAACTCATTCCCCTTTTCTTTCTGATTCACTGTAGGATTGGACCCTTGGAACTACTAAATTCTCATAATCCTAGCTCTGGCAATCAGTTCCTTTCAACCAATGTGAGTATTTTATCCCCTGAGTGCCTTTCCCTGGTCTAAAAGATGGATGATGTTTACCTGCCTTAAAATATAGTGGTGATTCCAAGTTCAAAGCACAATACAGGTATTCAAATACTGTATAAGCCCTAAATAGTGTTGCATACAGCTTGCAACTTATCAGCATGTCTGTATCTAGAGAAGGCTCAAGGAATTTATCCTTCTAGGAAAAATGATATTGAACATTGTGTAGGATCTCAAATATGGTATTCATGTCCTATATATGCTTAGGCTGTGTCTAGACTGGCAAGTTTTTCTGCAAAAGCTGGTGCTTTTGTGGAAAAACTTGCCAGCTGTCTACACTGGCCATTTGAATTTGCGCAAGAACACTGATGATCTAATGTAAGACTGTCAGTGTTCTTCCACAAATACTATGCTGCTCCCATTCGGGAAAAATCCCTCTTGCGCAAATGTATTTGCACAAGAGGGCCAGTGTAGACAGCTAAAAACTGTTTTGTGCAAAAAAGCCCCAATGGTAAAAATGGCGATCAGGGCTTTCTTGCACAAAACCGCATCTAGATTGGCACGGACACTTTTCCACAAAGTGCTTTTCCGTTAAAAGCATTTGCGGAAAATCATGCCAGACTAGAGGTAGCCTTAGTGTTGGAAATGAGCTCAAGGCAGAAATGACACTTTACAGTCTTAAGGGCAGTAAATCACTGATAATCTTTTAATTCTGGCAGTAAATATGCCATAGTGCTTTTACACCCTTTCTTTTTTGAAAGCCCTGTGTGCTGACTAAGTGTCCAGGCATACTACTTTTATTCTTTCTCACTAAATACCCTATGTCGTTACATCTTGTTGTATCTTTCTACTTCATTTCCTGTCCTAAAATGTCATTGTTACTGTTAAGTAGCTGCCATAACCAATTTTCAACACAAGGGGCTGAGCATTTTAGTGATGGATGAATTGATCCTGTAAGTGTAAATGGAGTGAAATTCTGTGCTGGAGATGTGGCCATTTCAGAGTGGAATGGCATTAGGCTAAGAATTTTGTATTGGACTGTCAACCAGCCCTAACAGGACTAGGTAAGGTGGAATGAATGTTGAAAGAGGTTGGTGAGAATGCTTAGTTCACCTTATGGCTACTCTGAAAATGAGAGCTAGTGACTGCTGCCAATCTCTGCATGCACATGCACAGTAAATGACTGAATACTGTCACAGCCACAGCTGAGACATCCCCTTCTTTCCATCCTAGGGACCATGAAATACTGTTGGTTGCTGTACAAAGGCTCCTATGTTAGTAGGACTCCTCTAAAGTAATTGTATGAAATACTGGTTTGGGGGAAAGAGATGCTCTTTAGGCTCTCTTAAGGTATGTCTACATTGCAGAGCTATTTTGGGATACTGAAGTAACCCGAAATAGCTATTCCACATCTATTGAAGCAGCCCATTATTTCAAAATAGATTTAGAAATAACGGGCAGCTTATTTGAATGTCCCGATAAGCTAAGGGGCATTTCGGAGTAGCGAATTATTTTGAAATTTGGCGCTGTGTAGACAGCTTATTTCATAATTTGGCGCTATTTCAAAATACACTCAAAATAAGCTATGCAATTTGCATAGCTCAAATTGCATAGCTTATTTCAAGCTAAGGGTGCTATGTAGATACACTCTGACAACTAAGCTAAATTCTCACCAAAAGGGCAGATTTGGCCAAGATTTAAAAATTCTAGCCTTCTTTCTATTTGAGAATAACAATGTTCTGGGCATTAAGAAAGTCATCTTGACTTGCTCGTTTTTCCATTGCTCTTAAACACGTTGACTTCGTTGGCTTACTGATTGCTAAGAAGATGTTTACAGAACAGTTCAGCTGACCAGTGACAATTATTGAGAGGCTCAATAAGGCTAGCTCACTTTCCGTTCTTGCATCTTAATCACCTGCTGA